TTTGCAAAACACATATCCGGCCCTGTAAGTCCCTAGCTGAAAATTCTTGAATGCACCCCCAAATCCTTCGTGATAACATTCCAACTCCTTCCCAGTTTCACCAGGCTTCAACCTGGTGCACTGCTTGCCTCCATTCTAAGCTTCCTCTTATGACACCCTCGGACTTGCCTCTGAGCTCTAGACTGGGTTTCTCTCTTTCCTCTCTCCCTCTCTCTCTCTCTCTGTCTCTGTTTCTCTGTCTCTCTGTCTCTTTCTCTCTCTCTCACCACCATCCCTCCTTCCATCCCTGCTGCCCACTGCCCTGACCTTTGGAGTCAGATGTGGATTATTCTACTAAGATTTTCCAGATAACTTCTTCTCAGACTAGGTTAGACCCCCCTCACTTTATTCCCATATTTGAATCTGTATTTTCCTCTTCATTCATAGGGCCACTCCTAAGACACACCATCATATGGCTATTGATTTTTAAAAAGTATAACAGAAAGATTTATGTGTTTTCTCACCCAATATGTGTTGGTAGTTTTGAGTTCACTTTCCCAAATGGTCATTTTCATCTCTCATCACCCGGAACATGGCTATGCTCTGGGTTTTGTATACAAACATAGCTTTAATTCCTCGTCCAACTTGTTGGGGAAAAGTGTTATTGAAAATGATCAGTCTTGGGGCGCCTGGGTGGCGCAGTCGGTTAGCGCCGTCCACCTTCAGCGGCAGTCTGCTGATCCAGGCGTGAAGTTCGAGCCGGCGTGGCTCTGGGCTGATGCTCTCAGGAGCCTGAGCCTGTTTGATTCTAGCCCTCCCTCTCTCTCTGCCCCTCCCCAGTTCATGCTCTGTCTCTCTCTGTCCCCCCAAAAAATAAATAAACGTTGAAAAAAAAATTTAAAAAAAAAAAAAAAAAAAAATGATCAGTCTTGGGTTCTACTCAATAGATCCATTGATTTGTATGCTTTGAGATAACAGGGGCAAGGTTTGACAAGGGAAAACATGGGTAGCTTGGATTCGCTCAGAAAAGAAGAAAACGAATGCCATCATTGCCAAGAGTCCCTGAATTCAAACCTTGAGAGTGAGTCAACCCCTTGCTAAGCCTGACTGTCCAAGGCAATCTCAGATGGGGTCTACACTGCACCAGACCAAACCACACGCAGGGAAAGAAGGGCACCCCAAGAAAGTCCCATACATTACGGAGTACTTGCAGATTGTTTTTTTTTCCAGTGTGGAAAATTTAGGAAACTCAGGTAAGCCAAAGGAAGAAAAGAAAAATTACTCATAATTCCAAACTCCGAAATATCACAGTATATATTTTAAATTTTATCCACTCAGTCATACCATAATGGCATTTTTTTCTTACTAAGGGGGGGTATCAGTCACTTTCACAAACTACATTTTTTTCAACTTAACGATAATCCTTAAACAACTTTCCAAGACAGTTTTAAACACCAAGGTGAGTTTATTAAGCAAAGCAACACTTAAGAGTCTACTGTAAAAAGATTTGTGAAGCAATATTTACGAGATATAAAGGTGAGCAAGCCCTATGACTGCCCTGGGGCGCCTGGGTGGCTCAGTCGGTTAAGCATCTGACTCGATGTCGGCTCAGGTCATGATCTAAGGGTCATGAGATAGAGCCCCACATCAGCTCTGTTGGGCGCGGAGCCTGCCTGAGATTCTCTCTCTCCCTCTCCCTTTCCCCCTTCTCTGTTTTCTCTCTCTCTCTTAAGAAATAAAAGATAAATAAAAAGACCTATCCCTGCCCTGAAGGAACTTACAAAAAAGTCACTTGCTTTGATCACTAATTCCACATAAAAATAGTAAGGGTCTAATCTATGAGAGGGACTGGAAAAGATGTGGGATACAGAAGGAAGTAAGACAGATGTGTCCCTCTCGTCACAGAGCTTAGGAACCAGCAAGGAAGCCGTGGGTGGGGCAGATCATGACAATGTGCACGGGGCTGTGAGCTCTGGGAGAGGACACAGCGTGAGAAGCTACCTTCGGGCAGAGAAGCCACGTCTTACTTGGATGTGGAGCGGAGCCACGGAGATGCGCAACCATCTAGTACCCCTGAGGGCACCTGATGGGAGCAGGGAACTCACTGGAGACAGAAATGGAGACTGGAAGGCCTGGAACGTGGGCCCATTCGCTTATGCTAGGTTTTGTAGACTGGATGTTTGGGGCAGGGCGGTGACACTGTATGCTGCACTCTGCAGGGACACACAGGCAAACATGGCGGGGGGGGCAGGCGGGAGGGAACGGAAAGTCTGCCCAAAGCCTTGAAAGTGAAAAGTGAAGGCGCATTTGAGAAATCCTGTAGCTGCCGGAGGATCCAAAACCGGAGAAGAGAGCAAAAGCGAGAGAAAATGTCAAACACAGAGAAGGGTTAAAACTTGAACTGGTAAATGTTTTGGCGGAGGGGCTCAATGCCTTGAATGAGCATCGGATATCATCTCAGCTAATTAGCCGCTTCGGTTCTCGAGGACAACCAAGAACTGGCTGAAGCCTCTCGGTTTCCACTATGCTCAAGGTGAGGAAGAATGTGGGAGAAACCCGAGCAATTTGAACATTCCAGAAAAGCTGTTGGGGAGTGTTTTTTTCAAACATAGGAGAAAAAAATTGACCTTTTACACGGCAACAAAGAATATCTAAAGTACTGCGAAAGAAGCCGTGAGCCACGGAATTTTATCACATCAGACAAAACATTTCATTTTTAGCACAATATTTAAAGGATCGTCTGGAAGGGAGATAAAACCCTTCAAACAATGTCTGGTAGCAAAAGAAAGCTAATGACTCCACTGTTTGAAAGAACACAGGGCAAGAAGATTATCTAAGTTTTAAGAATAAACGCCGAAGAGACAAAAGCGTATTATCTCTGTGTGAAATAAGTGGCAGTCAGCAAAGCATATTTTCATCTCATTTTACCGAACAATTCAGGGCAGGATTATTCAGTCAAACAAAAAGAATTGTTTATCATGACTGATACGTAAGTACTGGTAAGAAGACAGGTAGTCTGCTGAATGGTTCCGGACACCACACTGGAAGGATTTTAAAAATTAAGTTTTTTCACAAAAGACTCCATTCGTTTCCTTGAGGAACATGAACTCCTCCCTTACCTTCATCAACTTTTGTTCTCAGCCCCTCCGCATTGGTTCCAACCCAGCACAGGAAATGGGCAGAACTGAAGGGATTGTAACTGTTTTGCCTCTCTCAGAAGATCCACCACAAATGATCTCCCTCCATTGGTTCTGTGAAAGTGTTCTGCAACTCGGGAGTTTTCCAGAGAAGACATACTTCCTGTTACTTTCACCTGTCCTCTCAGATACAAGATAAAAGAAGGCCCCAGCCCGTTTAATAACGCAGAATCACTTCCTGTCCCCACTGATGCATCTCCTTTCTTCATTTTCAGAACTGAAAAATCTTCACTGTTCTCCTTTTTACTTTCTTGATGATATGTCATCCATATTTCTCTCTCTCTCTCTCTCTCTCTCTCTATATATATATATATATATGGTATTACTATATAATTACTATATAATATATATTACTATAAAATTA